ACTGATAACGGTAGAAAATATATCAATACACGTTCTTATGATTTATTTTCAGTAGCCAGAACGAAGAAGGAGACATCGATAGCTTACAACCCTTAACAAAAGGGTCGAGCAGAGCCATTAAATCGTATCCTCATAAACAAGGCACGATGCTTGCTTTTGCAAGCCAAGCTCAAGAAAAACTTCTGGACCCGATCTAGCTCAAGCGGTTAGCATGGTTAGTCGCTTCAACAACAACAACAGCCACCAACATTGGAAAGCCGTAAAGCACTTCTTCAAATACTTGCAAGGAATCAAAAAATTTACACTTGTTTATCAGGGTAGAAAGGGAATACCTTTGACTGGATATTGCAATACAAGCTAGGGCACGGACGAGACTGACCCGGATCGAGAACTAGATACGTCTTTATGCTGCATGGTGCAGCGATCAGTTGGAATAGCCATAAGCAGTACACAATCACCCTATCCAGCACCGAGGCTGAATACTTGGCACTCAGCAGCATCCACAACGGGTCCACCATCACTATCCATTGCGACAACAAGGGGGTGATAAATCTGAGAAAGAACGCCAAATTTAGCCCCAGAACTAAACATATCAACATTCATCACCATTTCATCAAGCAGTATATAGAAGATCGAGAGTTGACTGTGAAGTGTATACCTTCAACAGAAATACCAGCTGACGTGTTAACAAAGGCCAGCCCCCAGACTAGACTTTTAAAGACTTAAAGTGTACTAGGATTAAGCAGCTAAACTAAACCCTTTTTTGATTATTGCTAGGTTACAAAATCTACAGGCCTTGTATATCTTTTTCCTCCCTTGTTTTAGGTCCGTTAATTAATTTTTATTGAAGATCTATCTATGTAGGTATATATATATATATATACACATATATGTGCACAGTTGAGGGGGCGTGTTAGTATCAATAGCGTACACCCACACATATATGGGAGTGTATATACCAACAAATGGACTAATATGCATATGTCCTACCTCTGCGCAGTGCACGTAGAAAGCCAACTTGGGCTGTTCAAGGAAACCGTAGTTTTTGTACCGTTAGTTAGCCGTTAGCACATAATGGCGTAAGACGTCTCAATAACAAGAACTGGGTACGTTAATAAACGACAGTAATTAAATAACATTTATTTAATATCTTTCCTCATTCACACCTTCCATACATTATCAGTACTCACCTGTCCAACCGTGAGACTGCATCCATCCCAGCGTGCCCAAGACCATTCATCAAGTTGTAATGGCGAGTGTGTGGTGTGAGGTAAGAGAAGATAGTGTACATGCGAGTGTGTGTAAGGGGCGGCAAGAGTGATGATGAGTGTAAGGACGTAGCACTAGAAGGTAGAGGCTAAAGAACGTGTGGGTGCGAAAGAGAGAGAGAGTAAAAGAGTGAGAGACGGAGAGAGTCGGAAAAACATAGTGTGGTACCAGGGAACCGGTCGTAGGCGAGAATGAGTTGAAGATTTTGTAAGGGTGCTGACTACGCCATTAAAACACCAAGCCACCAAGTCACGACCACATCAGCGGTGAAGGCAAAGTTATCATTATATACATATCGTATTAGAAGTGGCGCGAAGTCAAGTAAATGTCAGTAACGTAGAGAAAATGGCGGATAAGTAAATAGTGCCTCTAGGCCTTAACAGTAGTGCGTGACTGCATTTTTTTTTTATTTCTGGCAGCTGGATTTAGTTTCCTCCTATTTCCTGTTTCCTTTATAGGAGCCGCTCAACCCCGAACAAGCATCTAGCGATCAGAGCGTTTACTTTAAAAGAGAGACAAAAATAGAAACAGGTGAGTACAGTGACTTTTTTGTGAGTGAGAAGTATCAAGACCACTGTCATCAGTGGTGTTGACTTATCTCTCGTTATAAATGAAATACTAAACAAACAAAAATTAATGCAATATAAAAAGCATTAAAAGTTTTTCACGAACCACACATATTATGGTAGACATTTATTGATTTATATAAATCATGAAAAAAAATTTTATTTCGTACAAAGAAAAATGTATTTAAGGAACAATAGCTGTTGAGAAAAAAAGTTATTAAAAAACATAAAATTAGTTTTATGAAACTATACGATTTTTTTAAATATCTGTCTTTTTTTTTACTGAATACTACTTTAATAACAAATAACTTCATAAACTTTTTTAATAAGTCCTCAAATAACCTAGCTTTTTAAAACAAATTAAAAAAATTTTGCCATTACATTAACATAATTATTAAATATTAAAAGGAGCAGCGTTGACTCAGTGGTAAGCGTCCTTGTTACTGATAAAACGTTGTTCTAGGGGTCGTGGGTTCGATTCCCGGTGAATGCAAAGTTTTTCAAAAACTGTTTTCATCTGGAAAGTTCCTATGTAACCCCGGCTGTTACGGGGCAGGTTTTCCCGTGGAATTTTCCTTCAGAGTAATTCCATGGTTTTTTCCTTGCCTCACAGGTCTTCGGGCCTGGGTAAATGCGAAACAGTGTTAGGAGGTAGGGATTATCGGATCCAATGCACCAGGCAAGGATGGCCAGCCTTACTGGCGAGGAGTGGTCCCTGAAATATGGGGCTTCTCCGAGGATGATAATTAGCCTGGATCCGATGCTTTAGCAGAGAGCGCCGGCTGAACCGGCGAGGAGTGGACGTCCTGAAATATGGAGACCCGATGCATCATTAGTGCAGAGAGTGTCAGCTGAACTGGCAAGGGGTTTTACCAGAAATACTTGCACTGTGCCCATGGATTAAAAACATAACATCAGTAAAAGGGTTGGAAAATGGGTGTGGCAATATACCCCCACACATAGGTGGTGAGTGGGTGGTCACTATACATTTGTTATGAAAAAAAGGCTTGGATGATTTTTGAGAGTGCTTGTATAAAAGTGCTGCCATCTACATGTGTGCCAACTAATACGATGATAAATGTATCAATATTACTTGTATACCTTTTCGAGTCATATTGACTTTCTTACTTATCTACAAACATTAGAATCATTATCTGATATACCTATTATAATAGAGCTTGGGTAAAAATAGCTCAAAAAATTAGGAATGGGAACTCATCTAAGCCTATGGTGCGAGTAAATGTATGGCTTCTTGGTAGCTGAAGTGGTAGAGCAACTATCTAGTAAACAGGAGATTGTATGTTTAATCCGCACTCGGGGAAGATATTTTTCTGATTTTTACTTCACAGAAAGTAATTCAAGTTTCTAATTATCTTTAGTTAGGATGTATGAAAACTCGAATCTCCTAAGAATTAAATCGGTTTTAAGTTGGAGATTATCCTAAGTGACTTACTCACATTTCATTTTCTATACAGTTTAGTCTAGAGTCATGAGCATTCCGATAAGCCCATGAAGTGGACTTGTAGCCAAAGAGATATTGGACATAAAAACCAGAATTTGCCATATAAAATATGTAACGAGGCAAAATGGCCTTTATATTCCAAAATGCTCTCGCTGATGCAACGTGTATACAAAGAGGATTAATTTGACGCTTCTCCGAACTATTTGTTTTTCGGGAGCTGTATACACGCTGAAAGGAGGGGACGAGGACGCCAACGGACAAACCGTTGAGATGCAGAGACACAGCAGCGCCAGCAGAAAAGGACAAGGAAAGTGCGAACGCAACTACCGAGACACAGCAGCTGCTATGTATGAGAGTGACTGCGAGAGGAGATACGTGGCGGCAGCAGTGGCGGCGGCCATTGCTTGAGCAAGAGATCGTGAGTGAGTCGGGAGTAGAGCCTCGAGCTACACGCTTAAGCATGAGCAGTGAGAGCTTCGGTGGTTTGCTTGATTTTCGTGGCGAGAGTTGAGAGAGAGAGTTTTCGAGAAGGTGCGTTGAGTGTTGAGAGAAGAGAAAGGAGTGTGCATGTGAGACAAGAAGCTGCTGTGTTCTCCCCGGACGACGAGGTCTCCAGGTCGAGGACTACGGCCGCTGAGAGAAGAAGCAGAGAGAGAAGAGTTGAAAGAGAGATAAGAGAAAAGGTGAAGCCGCGGAACGAACTACCCGCTCGAGGACACCGGACGACATCACGCCGGGTTGGACTCGCGGACGTTTGACCAGGAGGTGAGGCTAGAGAGAGAGAGAAGTAGTGTGTAGCGTAGACAGTGCGGGAGAGAGAGAGAGAGAGAGAGAGAGATTGTAGTGTAGACAGTGCGAGAGAGAGAGAGAGAGAGTTTGGGTTGACGAGACGAGGTGTACGAGAGACCACGAGGTGCATGGGAGGGCCGCCATTTTTCGTGCGTGTTGTCGTGTATTAGGGTAGATAGTAGAGTGTAGAGAGAGAGAGAGTGTATAGTCGAGCAGAGAGAGAGAGAGAGAGCGAGAGAGTGTATAGCAGTGTGAGAGATTGGGGACGGAGTGTGAGTGTGTGCGTAGTAGTGTGGGTCGAGGACGAGCAGGAGCCCCTCCTGGTCCCGGACCAGCAGGACGTGGTGGACGAGCGCTAGCGGCTCGCGGGGTGCGAGGCAGAGTCGCTGCAGCGCCGTCCAGAGGACGAGGTGAAGCGTTGGTCGTGTATAGTGAAGGGAGATACTGTGTATTAGTGTTAAGTGTGTTAAATAAAGAAATAGTGAAATGTATTAATTTGTTGTGTGTAAATTATTAGTTCTTCTCGTAGAACGGGAGAACTCCCGCGCCTATCCCCCTTTTTCAGGAGCAGAAACCCAAGAGGTGAGAGGGACAATGGTGACGAACGCGATCGAGATTTGCTAACGCTGCGTCGGCGCCTCTTTTCGTTTCAGGTCAAGAAGCAGTGTTACAAATAGCCTTGCTTTCGTAGTAAATTTTTAATACTTTATAAAAGTAAAAGCATAATTTTAGAAAGAGGTAAGTATCTGAATACATCGTGTGATAGAAGGAGAGACTTTTCATTCAGCTATACTTAGTCTAAATAACTTTACCTTATTAACTACGAAAACTGAGAAAAGGACTTTGATCCTGCATCTAATAAAATAAATAAATAAATAATTAAATAAATTATTAAAAAATTTATATTTACTTACTGCGTCTGTTTTAACTTAATAAAATCTGGAGAACAATGGCTATCAAAAAGTTTTTCTGTGTGATAACTTACATGAGCATGTAAGCATGTAGCTTCAGAAATTAGAAATGTATCACTTTTCCTCTTGGGTATATTTTCAATTTTATTTGCATAAAACATGTTCTTCTTTGTTTCATCTGAATTAGGAGTTTTAGAAGAACATTTTTTGAGTTTTTGACGTAGTTGTTCAATTTCAAATTGAAATTGTCTCAACAAAGCATTTTTTGGATCCTCGTTTACATGGGCACGATTTTTTATATTCTTAGCTCGATTGGCATATCGTAATGTACTTATAGTTTCGTCATAGTGAGTATCAGCAGGACTAATATTTGCACACTGTAAAATAAAAAAATTAGCCCATTATAAGAAATAAATATTCTTAGAAATGTTAGTATACTTATGTGAATAAATAGAAGTAAGTAGTGAATAATTGACTTACATCTTTGTTCATTGAGATGAGGGTCGTAAATAGTTATGTGATGAACTTATTACTACGTTAACACATACAATTTGAACTATTCATTTTTACAGTAGTTTAAAGCAATTATACTTAATAAATCGAGGATTCAACTGTACAGACGATATTTACATAATGCCTATTTTTTATTTATTATCATGGATACATAAACATAGTGTATTTTTACCACACTTAACGTAAGCAATTGTAAGTCAGTAAATACTACTCATACTTACATTTCAAATAGAAAATTTCATATCGTTAATGGTGCGCAAAAAAAAAAAATTTTTCGGATTCACTGAATAAATATTGAAACTTTTAATTTTCTCACATCCTCTTACAGTGTGGTAGCACTCTACTCAAGCTATAAGAAGAGACTGTAAGGATTTTCATATGATTTGTTACAAGGTTTAAAAAAAAAGGGTGAACAATGCCGCTAAGTGAGGTACAAAATAACACGCATTGCAAGGATAGACTACCTAGTCAAGTACAACAATACATAAACTTACATCCACTGGTGTAAGTACTATGCAGACGGCAGCTCAGGATGCCAAATGATGCCCAATGGAGAAAAAAAGTGTTAAAAATCGTACTTTAATCGAAGTTTAGCTAAAAAAATTTCTGAATAGCGTATTTTATTCCGTTTAAGACACCAGATCCCTTGCCCACGTATCTTCGAACAAACCAACTGCTTTAAACTTTAAATATGTACATGTATTTTTGATCTTTTCATCATACTCTAATTGAAAAAACAATATAATATTTATTCTTTATCACGTGTATTTATATAAAATGATACAATTACGTAGACAGATAACGTTACATAATCATTGAATAATAGTCACCGTGGAAGTATCGCCTACTTCAAAAAGGTTACGTAAGAAACCTATTAAATCAAGCTATATTATGGTCACAAAAAACGGAATGAAAAACATTTTAATCATCTTATTCTAAAAAGTTTAAGATGGATACTTTTAATAAAGAAGCAAAATCATATGAAAAAAATATTATTATGTTACGTATGATTGAGAAATGATAAAAAATTAATAAATATAATATTTACTTTACCTCTAAAATTCATTTCTAAGAATTACCAAGTTTTTTAATTATATAAAAGTTTATTTTTTAACAATGTTTTCTACTTCTGTATTTTTCTCTTTCTACGTAAATAAATAAATTATTTTTATTTTTGCATCTTGATAAGTACCACGTATAATTGACCATAAAAAAATGAGGTTTTTTCAAATATAAGCCGAGAATATCGAAACTTTGACCTTAAGATTTGTTTATTGTCATAGCACATGCCGCAACCATTAGAAATTGCTTACGATACAAAATAAAAGGTCATGTTGAGGTGTTTCCTGTGTTTAAAGCTATTTTTAGAATGAAGACTGTTTTAAATTTTTTCTTGGGTTAACACTTCTCTTTCTACATCACATTATTCTTAATTGTATTCCATTAAACAGTCATCTGATATACATGAATTTTTTTAAGAACATCAATATTTTTCCGATTTTTAGGTAAAGTTCATGAGGAGGTTGTAATCCTTTACGGATATTGTAAAACATTTTCACTGAAAAATTCGTATGCATATCATCGTCTAATTCATCAACTCCTTTGTAAGATGCAATATTTATACTATAGTAAATTTTAGTTTCTCCAGCTGATTTTTTAAGAATTTCTCCATTTACACAACATGTGTACTTGTTATGCGATGTTAGTGTATCAGTGGTTACCGAGCAATTATAGATATCAGAAAATATTTAAGAACATACATTATTTATTATTTAGTTTTTAGGAATATTATGGGTTTCTATTTTTCTTTTTACAATTTCCAATGATAATGTTAAGAATCCTTTATCGGTAGAACGAACACTGGTTTGTAATTGCAAGATTTCAAGTGAGTTCTGTAAAAAAGAATATTAAATAGTTTGATTGTAATTTTTCTGTGACTACTTTTTATCACTGGCAAAATTCGACGAAAATCACCTTGGAAAATAATTAATTGATATCCAAAATATTTTCCAGGATTATTAGATCTCTTTATGCTCTGTGTACTATTTCCACTGATTTTTTTTGTAATTATTGGAGGCTCATCCCGAAGAATGAAATCAACCTCTCTCAATATTTTCCCTCAGACTCGAATTCTAAAAAGGCAATCTCTGTATTATTGAGATCTAAAGAAAGTCTGAAAGTTATATGAATTATCAACCCTTGGGGAAGCAAAATTGATGTTCTACGAGTTCATGCTATTAACAAAAATTTTTTATTTCAAGAAATAAAATAATAAATTAACATTTCATATCAATGAGTTTTTTCCGATCCTTCTGGATCATCTATTAAGAAAACATCATTCTTTCGTTCGGAAATAATGTATAATATTATTTTCTGGTCTTTATTTAAACTTTTATACGTAGGGTTAAGCATTTTTTTACTAAAACGTATTCTTTTATCTAGATCACTTTATTTCTCCTTTTTTTAGTGTAGGTAAATTGAAGCACTTGCACATTTCATCTTCTGATTCTGGAATTTAGTTAGCATGTAAGAAAGCTAAATTTAATTGAGCATCAAGTGACTCCTCTTTGCAAAATTCCTTATATTCATTTCATATTGCATCATTGCATCACCTTAAATATTTCTAAAATTAAAAACCAAGCAAAAAATAATCATAATTTATATGAAAACATAACGATTGCTTCTTTACAAATGTCATCTATTTTTTCATCATCATCCATTAAACTTATTGCAATTGCAAATACATTTGAACGTTTCATACGTTATTTTTTGTAACCTCCAATATCTTTCAGCAATGTCAAATCAGTTACTGTATTCAGTACGAGTTTCAAAAAAAATCTTTTATGATTTTTTGGCGATACAATGTTTAATCCACCTATCGCAGTATTTTTCATTACATTTTTTCTTCTTTCCTTAGTTTTTGATTTGTTGTTGAAAATGTAGTATTCAAGAATGTTAACATACTTTCTGCACTTTGCTAAGTCATCATGTTTATTTAGTTCCAACCAAGCAGTTAACTGTGTATCGTAGCTTTTTATATCGCTTTCAATTTTATTTTCTTCAAAGACAAGTTTTTTTTGTTTTCAAGATGAACCGCTGAATTAACAACTGTATGACTTCTACTATAAATTAAAAATTTTTGACATCTCGAAGCTGCTTCCATGAGACCTACATATTGAGCATTAACCTAACTGTTAATTTCATTTAATAATTCTTTGTTTTAGCCTTGTATATTTTAAATTTAAATGTATTTAGTATCACTACTTCTATGAGTATAGTTAGAAATATATTTTATGCTTTAGATTGATGCAATACATTTAACGTTAATATTACATTTACATTTAATCAATAGAAATGAATTATAAGGTACAACTATTCAATTATCTACTGAAATATGAGTTTTTGTCTAAGTTTCGTAAATATGTATATAAAATATGTTATTTGTTTTTTTAAATTGTGGTTAACCTTTTGTTTGGAATCTGTTATGAAATGTAGTACGTTTGTAAAAGGTTTCAGGGAATTTTTCGTTTACTTCTGATGAGAATGAACCATGTGAGGACAATGTTTTGTAAGAGGACTATAAAGCATGTGTTTAATGACTAATTTCGTAAGTTTAACATTACAAGAAATAAGTGTATTAATTGGTTTAGGTGTAATATTTATTAAACAGGATGTAGAATTATTTAAATGTGTGCATGAAGTAAACCACGTTACTGAGATTCAATTGTATAAACTATACATGTTGTAAAAAATTTATAAGTAAAATTTTTAGTACAACAATCTTATTGCTGTTTTCTATTGTATGAAGATTCCATGTATCGAAATTAAAATAGTAAGAAACTGAATTTGGTTTTACCGTTAATTGTTTATAGACAATAGATATATATAACACTCATACGTCCGCGTCAGAGGATCAGGTGACATAAAAAACATTTATTTCTAAGTTTTGGAAAGAACTGTTTTATTACATTAAAATAAATAGTTAATCAAGTAAATAATTCATTAATTGATGTAATGTATAATCATCTAATTAAATAATAGACAGAAAATGAGTATAACAATGAGAGATAAGTTACGAACCTCACTAAAACAAGGAGAAAGATATTGATCTAAAATAGGGGTTACTTGGATTAGTGTAGATAGAGTGCAAAAGTTTGCTTGTTGGATTATCGGGAATATCATTTTTTTTTTTTTCCAATTTTTTTAGAAAATAAGGTGTAGGATAAAAATTAAAATTTTAAAATTTGATTTCTTTACAAATGGGTAATTCTTTTGAAAACCGGACAGACTGAGATAACATCTAACCAACACATTTTTTATTCAGCTGGCAATTTTTCTATGGGTTGTATATATATAAAAAAAAAAAAATACCAATTCCAGGATTTTTTTTTTTAAGATAAGGGGGGTTACAAATTTAAGAGTTTCGTGATTTTTGTCTCGGAGACTTATTTTCAAACATTCACAAGTCTGACTCTTTTGAAGCTAAAATTTGACCTTTAAGATAATAAAAGTAAATTCCAAGAAAAAAATATTAACAGCAAAATTTATAAACAATTTTACATTGTTACTAATAATTTAACTGCTTAATTCGATTTTTAACTAGAGTCCCCAAAATTTAACGATTATTTAATTACGCTAATTTATTTAGCGCGGCACGTCGTATCGGCGGGCAGGTACCTCTGCATGCCTCTCCTTTTAACCTTACATCGTTTTTCTCCATAATATTAATGGTTATAATATATGTCAGTTAATGAAAAAAAATTGTCATTTTTATTTTTAAATATAACTTATAATCAACTTAATGTCTTTTTAAGGAGGTTTGGGAAAAAAGTTAAAAATGGAGAAACGGCGAAAAAAATATACG